GGATTCATATCAAGGATGTCACAGTGGACAACTAAGACATCTGAAGTCACCCCCTCCTCCACTGAGGGAGTTTTAGTAGAGTTTCATTGCCTGGGGACAGATATAATAAGTTTTTTCCGTGGTTTTTTTCAACTTACCTCAAGATCCCTTTGACTTTATCTGTCAGTCATGCTTTGATTTTAAAATACTTTTTGGAAGTTCAGTCCATTTAACGTCAATGGCCCTTTCTTTGATATTGGAGTGCACTATGGTTGAGCTTAACACATAGATTGAGTGGACTTGCATTTGAATATTCACCAAACCAAGCTGTATATTTTGTCAATGGAACCTAATACCCACTTGAACACCATTGGGGACATAAGCTTTGTTTATAGTTGCTTAAAGGCAGTACAGGTAGTTCTTTTTTCACACGACTGTGGCAGCATCCCCATGATCAAAATTATGGCACTTGGCAACCGACTCATATTTATGGTCACAGTTTCCCTGGGGGGGAGGGGGAGGGTCCCGTGATCACTTTTTGTGACTTTCTGACAGCAAAGTCAATGGGGAAGCCAGATTCAATTAACAACTGCAAGGATTTTCTTAATAATGGTGGCAAGAAAGAGCCTGAAATGGGGCAAAACCTCAGGTAACCACAGAAGTTTTGGGCTCAGTCGTGGTCGTAAATTGAGGACTACCCGTACAGCAAAACCTAATGCATGTTCATTTAGCAACAAGCCCTACAGATGTACTTGTCCTTATTCCAAGGTAAAGGAATGTAGGATTGCAACCTTAAACTGTTTGCAGGAGTTTTGGTTTTGCTGAGCTGTGGGGAAACAGGGCCTGATATATTACAGCAGCCTGGTTACTCCTACCAGTATTAAATTCAGAAGGGAGAGGGAACTAATCCTACTGGACTATTGAATAGAGACCTCTCTTTTAGAAACCCTGGAGTAACTGCAAAAATCTTACTCATAATTATTTTGTTTATATGTGTTTTAAACTAGCTAGCGCCAAGGGTAGGCAACCTTGGTTCTTTTATGACTTATAGATTTTAAACTGGAATTATTTTTCTTAGATATAATATCAGAAAAACAGGGTAAAGAAAATATATATTTGATGTTGCATGTATTAACAGCAGCAAGAATTGTATTTGCCCAGCACTGGAAAAATGAAGAAATACCATATGGAAAAGAGATAATCAAGAAAATACTGGATTGTGCAGAAATGGACAGACTGACATTGAAAATTAAAGAAAAAGAAGATTCAAAATATTTCCAAATATGGGATGCATTTTATCAATGGCTGGAAAAACGGGGTAGAGACTAGTCCAGGGGTAGGCAATCTTGGCTCTTTTATGACTCGTGGACTTCAACTCCCACAATTCCTGAGCCAGCCACGCTGAGGGGAAAGGGAGAGGTTTCCAAGCTGAGCCATGCTGGCTCAGGAATTCTGGGAGTTGAAGTTCAGGAGTCATAAAAGAGCCAAGGCTACCTACCCCTGGACTAGGATCTTAATGTGTATTATTAAGCAAATTGGACCTAGACAATACTTTGTTTATTAAGCACTTATGTATTGTAAATACAGAAAATTAATAAAAAATATAAAAAGTTAAGATGTAATAAACTGTAGAAATTTAATAAATAAAAAAAATAAAAATAGACTTTATATTACATAGTGATAAAGCCATGAGATACTACAAACCATGATGTGAAAATGACCAACAGGTTGCTACTGGCCTTAATACGGTAGTTTAACTGTTTTGCAATTTAAATATCCTAAACTCATGGCCATGATTTTTCAAAATGAGTTCATTCAGAGAAGTGGGAAAGTCACATGACAGTCTTGGGCCAAAGTGGGTTTTTTTTTTTTAATCCATGAGTTTAAATTCTAACTAGAATTTGGGAAGAAGAAATCAGGAAAATACCAATTATAATGTAAATGCCTGTTCACTTTATCCCAAGGAAAGGTGATTTGACTAAGGTGAGTCTTATGGAGGATAAATTCCATTGGAAGGGAGACATGGTTTACAACAATGACTTTATGTCACTCAAATTCAGTATACCTGCCAGAAATATATAGGGTTTTCAAGTATTGTCATCCTGAGGCTAGAAATCCTAACTGAGGTGAGCAAATGTGCAGATATATTTTACCACTTAGGTTAACATTAAAATGTAGATGGTTCTATCTATCTATCTATCTATCTATCTATCCATCATCTATCATCTATTTATCATCTATCCTATCCTATCTATCATCTATCTATCTATCTATCATCTATCAATTATTCTATCTATGTATCATCTATCATTTATTTATTTTATGAGACTTATATACCACTTTAAGTGCAAGCACTCTCTAAGCGGTGTACACCAGTAAGCAATGTATATATATATTTACATTGCCCCCAACAATCTGGGTCCTCATTTTACCTACCTCGGAAGGATGGAAGGCTGAGTCAACCTTGAGCCGGTGAGATTTGAACCGCTGACCTGCTGAACACAGTCAGCTAAAGTGGCCTGCAGTACTGCACTCTAACTGCTGCGCCACCTCGGCTCTATCTATCATCTATCAATTATCTATTTATCTATTTATCTATCTATCTATCTATCTATCTATCTATCTATCTATGTATCATCTATCAATTATTCTATCATCTATCAATTATCTATCTATGTATCATCTATCAATTATTCTATCTATCTATCTATTGATCTATATCTATCTATCTATCTATCTATCTATCTATCTATCTATCTATCTATCTCTATGTATCATCTATCAATTATCTAACATCTATCTATCTATCTATCTATCTATCTATCTATCTATCTATCTATCTATCTATCTATCTATCTATCTATCTATCTACCTACCTACCTACCTTCCTATCCTATCCTATCCTATCCTATCCTATCCTATCCTATCCTATCCTATCCTATCCTATCCTATCTACCTATCTACCATCTATTCAGTCTATTCAGTCTATCCATCCATCGATTCATCCTCTTAAAGTCTTGACCTTATGCCAGGAAGGCACCAAATGCTTCAGCACGATTTGCCAAAAATGGTGGTAAGCTTTAAGAATGTAAATCTTGGTATAGAAACATACTGAATTCCAGAGCTATTTGAAAACACTGGATGTTGTGCCGTGAGAGAGCCCTATATTCTCCAGATCATTTGTAGAGCAAATTCTAAAAGCAGCAACCCATGATCTGTATGGTATCCGTAGAGTATAAGCAGTTGTTTCAGTACAAGTTTAGTGATTGCTAGTTCTGAATACCGGCTTTTATTTCTGGAACAGTCAGGAGACCCCAATTTTTTGCCTGGAAGGGGAAAAGTATAGGCAGGAGTAGAGTGCAACGTCCACTACGTATGTGCATAAAAACATATAGATAATTGTTCTCATTTGTGCAGGCAGACGAGGCTTCTCCTTTACAGTAATTTCGGCAGGCCAGAATCCCGGTAGACTTCCAGGAAAGGGAGCAGCATGCTGAATTGTAGTCAGGAAGAAGACATAGGCACGCACAAACCTTGTCAGCGAAAACTTTGCCAAGTAGCCGGGCCTTTCCTTGATTTATTTCCTGGCTCTTTGCCCACCTTTGTTTGCCAAGAAGGGGCAGTTCTCCGGACGACTCGTGCAGAACTCCGTCCCCCCCCCTCCCGCACTTCTTGAACGAAAAACTAACATTGGCTGGGTTTGCGGTGCTTTCTGGGGGCTCGCTCTTGGCAATCGGACCAGGTAATTAATTAAAGTAAACACATTAAAGAGGGGAGGTCTTGCTTTTAGGAAACAGATCTCCTGAAAGAGTTGGAGGAGGGATCGGGCGATCCAAAGGAAGCTTGGCCTCCGCAGGGGGGGGGGGCCTCGCTTCTGCTCTTGCATGAGTTTGCCTGCAAGAACTTGGCTTCTCAACCGGGTCCAAGGCACGTTTTCTGACCGGTTCTGGTGGAATTGTTCTGTGGGTTGTTTAAATAATAGCTGTGCTGCTGAGCGGGGCGGTTCTGATTTCTTCGGGGATTTTTTTTTAGGCTTGGGTGAAGCAATGCAACAGGTCCTTAGCACCCGGAAACTAAGGGGAGGTGGAGAGGGCTTCCCCCTGGTCTAGCGAGAGGCCCAGTCGGAATATTTGCACCCCCCCCCTTTCTCCGCCTCTGCCGCGTTTTCCTTGGGACGCCCTTATTTGCTGCTGAGTTTTTGCCCATCCCATCCCGCTTTCGAGTTCGGTGGCTTGTAACAATTTTTTTTTTTTTTTTTAAAGGCAAGGCATAAAGCAGGCCAAAACGACTACAATCCCAAGGCCCTCCCCGAAATAAATAAATAAATAAATAAATCGCTGGTTAAAATAACGAACAAAGCATTTTACTTTTTAAAACCACCTCCTTCCACGTTGCTCAGTTCACACGTGGTGGGTCACTGTCTCTGAAGAAGAGCGCCAGGAGCGCCTCGCTTCCCTTTGGGCTTTCTCCGCTTTCTGCTGCTCCGTCCAGGCGGCGACCAGCTTCCTCCTTCCTCTCCGTTTTTAATCTCCCCCCAAATCGATCGCCTTGCACTTGCCGGGGGGGGGGTCGGAGGGGGGGGAGCTCCAAGAATCCTCCCAGAGGTCCGATCCGCAAACTCCGAAACAAAGCAAGCCCCCCTCCCCCCCGGGATAGCCAAGTTCTTTCTGGAGGAGTCCTATAGATTCCAATGGAACTATTCCACCCCCCAAAAAACAAAAGAAGTGATGGGGAATCACGGGAAGCTTTCCCTTCCTCGCAACTCGGGTGCGATTGTGAATAGTTGCCAATGTGCACCAGCTAGGACTTGAAGCCCCTCCTTGCTAAGATCGAGAGAGAGAGAGAGAGAGAGAGAGAGAGAGAGAGAGAGAGAGAGAGACCCCGAATCCCTAAACTAGACTTTTCTGTTTTCGAGGCAGGGAAAGCGGGGGAAGGAGAGCGATTTATTTTTAAGAAATGTATTCTGCATTCAATAGTCAGTACATATCATTCGGACAAAACATTATATACATATACAAGACGTTTGTTGGTTTAAAAAAGGGGGTAGTTTTAACCAGGCGAAAGAACGGACTCTCCGGAAAACAGAAAAACAGAAAAACAAAGGAAAACAAACATCCAGCCTTACCGTGCACCTTTCTTTATAACCGATAACATTCCCGTTTTGTAGCAGTAAAACCAACACACAATAATAATAAAACAGCTGGAGTGAGACCATAATCTAGAAAATCAAAACCGTAATTATTATTAAGAGCACGAGCCTGCTGGAGTTTTCAGTCCCGTCTAGGTCAGCAGGGAAGTCTCATCTATTTCCCCCCCCCCAGCTTTCCCCCCAAATCATAAAACCTGCTGTTTCGGGGACACAATCCTAGTTATTCCAGGCAGCGACTTCGAATTCAGCACCGGCATAAAGTTAGTTGAACATAATAACCGCACGGACAAAAAAAGAACCTCCTCAGCACTTTTGAGTAGCAGCCTCATTTGTATGGTGTTTTTTTTTTTCCATTTTATATTTTAGGTCTAGCTTTTTTAAAACAAAAAACAAAAAAACCCACCCCGACACGAATAATTCTTCGTATGTAAGGTTTACAGTTTTCGCCTTTTGTTTTTGAAAAATAAAAGACAAAAACAGCCTAATCCATGGAAAATATGGCAAAGGGAAAGAAAGTGCTGGACTATCACACTGATCTAGAAAAGAAAGAGGAGGGGGGGGGGAATCACTCAGAATCCCAACATAGCAAATCTGGGTGTGTATATAAACACACAATCTGGGTGTTTTTGTATGTGTATGTGAGAGAGGGAGGAGAGAGAATTCCCCCCTCCTCTCGGCTTCTCTGTGAAAATAAGTGTGCACGTTTAAAAACATCAAAAAATAGATTTTAAGACAGGCAATCAAGCTTCACAGTTAAAAAAGGGCAATAAATGGACAGCAGACTAACCCAAAGGTGGTGGTTTTATTTTCTCCCCCCCCCACTGCTTCTTGGAGACTGTGTGGGTGTTTAAATAATCAAATTCAATGCATTTTTCCCCTCCTTTTTCTACAAATTTACCAGATAAATATTTGCATTTGTTTCTTCCCCCCTTTTAATTGTTTTTTTTTTGTTTCCCCTCTCCCTCTTGAAACATTTCTATGTCAGGTAGCATGAAGGTGGGATGTCTTAGATTTACTAATAACCTTTTTTTCTTTCACTCTGCGATTCTGAAACCAGATTGTGACCTGGCGCTCGGAAAGGTTGGTAGTGGCGGAGATCCTTCTTCGCTTCTCTTTGGTAATGAACTTGCTGGCCGCGTACTCCTTTTCTAATTCTTTCAGCTGGATTTTCGTGTAAGGGACCCTTTTTTTCCGGCCCCTGCGGTAGCTGTTCACTTCTGGCTGAAGTGGTACCACATCTGTGAAGACAGACGAGGAGAACAGAGCGGAGGAAACGAGGTGGAGAAGCGAAGTGGGAGGAAGAGAGAGAAAGAGAAGAGGGGAGGAGAGAGAGAGAGAGACAAAGAGAAAGAGAAGGTTAGATTAAACAGCATCTTGCAACTGGCTGGGCAAATGCATCTTCCAGGCATCAGGAATGGAACAGGCAGAAAAGTAGCAAGACGGCGAGAATGAAAGCGACATAGCAAGAAAATAGATGTAAGAGGAGGGGGGTGAATTTGGAAGGGCACGGGAGGGGGAAGGAGTGGGACAGAACCACTGGGATATGAGAAATGCAGGGGGGGAAATGAGGTGCAGGCAGAACAAGATATGAATCTATGCATTTGGTGTATTTCATGGGATATTTGTTCGCAGCAAGTTGAGAAGAGGCATCAAGTCACGGATAAGGACTTTGGCAAGTGGGGCAACTAGGAACTCCAGCATCCGCAAAACAGGATCTAACTTTCCAAACCTCCTTTCTAAACTTCCAATCGATATTAACAGGTGGGTTTCAGATACAGATTCTTCTCCAGCCTGTGGGAGAAGATCTGTGGGATCAACACCACAGTGAGAACACAGCTTTCCTGAAAAGGCTACTTTGTTTGTATGGGCAGGTTGCTTCGAAGCCTCCCCCGCCCCCAAATGATCTAGGGAATACGAGGGCCATCCTCTTTTCTGCTCTGTAGAGTTAACTCTTCATGCCCTCCATTAACTTACGAAAAGTGCTAAATACATTCACCTATTGAGTTCACTGCTTGGGAAATTCTACTTTCCTTGAAAGTATCTACCAGCTGTGAAGCCCTATTGTTTTCCTGCACTTCTCTAGAACGCCTTCTCCTCATCAATGCATTCGGTCTTTGTTGTAATAGTTACTTATACCATGATGCCCCATCGCCAGTGCTCTTGGACTAACTATAATCACTCACAGATCGGTCCCCCCATCCTTATCCTCCTATTCCCCCAAAGACTTCCTGAGACAGAAATTTAAAAGTCAAATTTGCTACTTTATTTTTTTTTAATAGTAGGAGTGATAATAAAATGAAATGTATCCCATTGGAAGAAAAGAGAAGAAATAATTATTGCAAGCTATCCTGGTTCATAGCTGGTAGGAAAAGAATATTTGTCGAATATTCCTGAATATTCCCCCACCCCCATCATTTAGAGATTATAAATTCTATACTCCGGTCACATTTTGAAAACTCTAAAGGAGGAGAAGTGTTAATCTCTTTATGAATAATTTTCGCTGGGGATTTTTTATTAAAATTCAGCAGGAGAGGGTTGTGGAGAGGCTTTGAATGGTAGGGGGATAAAGAAAGGGATTTGAATGAAATACATCTAGGAGAAGAGCATACCAGAGGTTCACGGAAAATAAAATGAGGATAAGAGGATAAGATATTTGAAGCGGATTTCACCCGGGCGGAATGGGGGTGGATGGGCGGGACAAAAACCACTTATGAAGAAAACGGCTTTTTACAAGATAGATCTTTTCTTTCTCTAGCATAAACAGTCGGAGGCAGGCGGGGTTGCTCGCTGCCGGCGGCTGAAATCCAGCGGAGATCCAAATAGGCCTTCTCTTCCTTCCACCTTGCCCAGCTCCAATTCCTCTTCCTTCTCAGAAGGGAACCCCAGCATGCAATGCTTTGCAGAGGCATCGCTGGCGAGCCGTCTTGCCACCAAGATAAATTCCTACCTTATTTACTCCCCTTCGGGGGGCTCCAACCCGTCCCTTTGGCCAATTCCGAGGTGGTGGCAAGATGAAGACCCCATGAATGCAGAAGCATTCGCCAATCTTTCGCCTCGCCTCTCTTCTCTAAATGAGAGGCAGTCGTTCCGAGGCTTTTGGGGTGTGCGTGATTCGTAATTCGTAATATGATTCGTAAACTGTCATTTATTCCAGATTTCTAACCAGAATCGAAAGCCTTTCCCTCTAGCTTTCCCACTCGGTCTTCGCGCGCCTTGCAAGACGCATCCCTCAGACACTTCTGGAGCTGCAGTACAGCGCAATTTTGCTGGGTCCCTCTGAAAAGCCCAGCCTTTCCTGGGGGGGGGGTAATGGGTGGGGCGGACAGGGGAGAAGAGATACTTCTGCTTTTCTGGATTCAGAATTTTGATTTTAAACACTCCTGCAAAATTAAGGTCGGAGGGGGAGAGAGAGAGAGAAAATCCAACCGGGGACCAGCGCGGAGAGGGATTAAAAAAAAACCAGGCGCACCCGCGCATCCTTCTCTCCCCCACCGGCTGCAGCTGCCCAAGCGAACGTGAAAGAGAGTTCCCAGCCTGCGCTTTGTTGAAGTCTCTCCCGCCTCTCCCGCTCCCCGTGGCCCCTTCGCCCCGCCGTCCGCTTCCAAGGAAGGGCCTCCTACCAAGTTTACCTGAGCTAGGTTTACACCCAGCCTAAACACGCAATCATGGCGGAGCAGAGTAGGCAGAGCTCGAGCTCGAGCGCCCTACCTGGGAAAGGCGACTTCCAGAGATGGGTGGACTGCGCCTGCTCCTTCGCGCAGTAAACCTGCCCGTCCCATCCGTTGGAAAGAGCCCAGTGCTGGTAACCCTCCATGGGGAGCAGCGCGTCGTGTCTTGGCTCGGGGTGCCCACTGATACCTGGAACCACCGATACGTCCAAATAGCCAGGGACCGCCTGGTAGGAGCTGGCAAAGCTCGGGTAAAAAGCAAACTCTTTGGCCCGGGAGGAGAGTTCTTCGCTGGGGAGAGAGCCGCTGGGCTCGGGGTATTTCTCAGCCGGGTGGTAGGCGCAAGGCTTCTGTTGCAAGTTCACGTTGTGGGAATGGGACAGGCGGCACCCGTAGTAGCTGCCTCCAAAGGGATAGCCGTAGCCTAAGGTGGCGTTAGAAGAGGCGGGCGGCGCGGGGCACTGCCTGGCTGCATCTGGAGCAGGTATTTCCGTGTAAACGGAACCCTGGGGCGTCCCGATGGTGCTGGAATGACGGCTCAGTACCGGGTGAGTGATTAAATCCCTGCAGTGGCTCGCTGGACAGTTCCCGCTGAGCCCTTCCATGGCTGGGATTTTAGTCTGGTTATTTTCATTCGGGTTCTCCTCATACACGTACATGAAAGTGTCCGCCCAGCGTGGATGCAAAATCAGTGAAGTTGTCATATCATGGTCTGCCCGAGCTTTTTAAAAGTCGACTTCCGAAAGAGAGCGAGAGAGAGACAAGTCCCCAACATATTGTTTACCCAGGAGCATGCGCAGAGGCGGCGGGATGGGTCTGCTTCGTTAAGAAATCTGCCGGGCCACGTGACCTCGGGAGGCCTCCCATTGGCTGCCTCCCTGAGACAGAAGTAGGAATCTTTAAAGGCAAAGTGAGTCACCCATTGATTGTAAAGAGAATGAGGAGATAAATAAGAGGAGGGGGGGGGGATGGTGGTCTATGTTTGGCCGACACAAAGAGCTTGCTATTTGCCCTGCGAAGCCTTCTTGTCTTGGGGGGGGGGGAACCCATTTTAGCGCTAAATATAAAAACGGCGATTGGAATTAGCTTGCTCCTGTCTGCCTTTTCCCCTCTCTCTTTATTGAGTCTCGTTGAGAAAGGCATTTGCTTATATATCAGGGAGCTATGGACCGAAGGACCTGGGGGAAATGAACTGAGATGGGGGGGGAACCCCTACTAATTGTCATAATAAGGAAAATGCGGTGAACGAAAATCTGGGGTAAGGGTCGGAGCAAGGGATTTGGTCATTTGAAAAGGAAAAAAAAGGAGAGCTGCGGAATATTAGCAGAAAAAGACCTGCTTTAAAAAAAAAAACTGGAAAGGGGGCAAATCTTACTGTAGCGCTCAGATGCGATTGGGCTGCTTTACCTCCCCCACTCCTCGCTCCTGTTTCTGGGAATCAACTCTTGGATCTTACGGGAACTAAGGAATCTGGATATTTATCGCTCCGGAAATTGATTTTTTCTTCTTCTCTCGGTCTCCAGAGTGTGTGTGTGTGTGTGTTTGGGGGGGGGGTCATATCTGCTTGCTTTAACATGTGTGTATCAGCTGATGATACTTTTGTGCAGTACAATTTTTTTAAGTATCTTATTTTTCGAAGGAGAACGTCTTTAAAACCCTTAACAGTTTGTTTGCTTCAAATGTCCAATAAAATTATATTAATATTACAAACCAAAACAACACTACAGTCTAGCTTATTTTTCACTTAAAAGGTGTATTTGAGATTTTGCTGACTAGTTTCCCCCGCTTTTTTCCCCTTTTGTTTGTTTTGACCTTTCAAACAAATCATTATTGGGGCATAAATAAATAAATGCAATAGGGAAAATAGAAAAGAGCAGTCGCCAATCTCACAAGAACTTCTTAGATGCTTTCAGAAACACTTCAACTTCTTCTATAGATTTCTTCCTTCTATGAGTCCAAACTAATAATGATTATTTTGTGATCGATTAACTGATGATTTCAAAGAGACTGGCTGTATTTATAGTGTGTGATTATGTTATTAAAATGTAATATTGTAGCAGTGAACAGTGCAACAATGATTGTGTGTAGCATGTGTGTTGCATTGGGTGTGTGTATGTAAAAGACAATAAGTGCAACTGACTGTACACAGTATAAACTGAATGTAAGATGGATGGCTTATAATGAAATAGAAAAAAAAAGTTACTCTTCCTAAGATTGATGGCTGTAATGTACCTTGGCCCACAACACTTCGCAGGCAGTACTGGCTGATGGGATCAGTTAATTTGTATATTTATTTCTCAGGGAGACATGTCTCCCCTTTTAAAAATTCTCCTAATTTTGTGTCTGAAACCATGGGAAATTTAGCTTAAGGGGAACAGGGATCTTCCATCTTCCTCTCTTCTTCCTAGCTCTTCATCCCCATTTTATGCAAAATAATTTTGGCAAATGTGAACATTGGGATGAACCAGGCTTTTGGTAATGTAGGAAAAATACTGTTCTGAGAAAGGAAAGTGGAGTGTAGAAAAAACAGTGGCCAAACCTTGCTTAGAGCTATCTATATATCATGTAGGTTTACTCAAAACCAAGTTCCATTGAATCCAGTGTCTCTTATTTCAAACAAAGATAGGTAGGGCTATTGCTTCCAAGATACTGCAGTCAGCAAAGTTAACTTACTGATCAAGAAGAAACTACCAAAATAAATGTACGTCAGTAAGTGAATGGCTATCTAATTTAACATAACTGGAGCTGCACAGCCAAACAGGCTAAATATCCAGGTTCTGTAATACCCATATATGAGTCAAATATCAATATTTTCCTATATTAAGGAACAGTAGTGGCACATTAGATTTTCACTGCCAGAATTTAAGGATAATTATCAATAAATGGAGAAATAAATAATTACTCTTTCTGCGCTTCCAAGATAAATACTGCCTGCTATCAGTAAAATACCCTAGTGGGAGATAAAGCTGGAAAAATCTATCCAAAATTCTAACCAAAGAATGATCTGAAGTTTCTGCTGAAAATACGATGTCTTCAAAAGAGACATAAAGGCTTCACACACAACTTTACACTTTTGCACACATAACAATCAAACCAGGCAAAGCCCAAGGTCAAGGTGGAATAGACAAATAGTTTCACAATCAGCCTTCTCTGACCTCAGTCTGAATGAACTTTACTTGTGGAATCAAAGTGACTAAGAATTTGTGGTGTTCAATAGGTTGGGCTATTGCGAATAATGGAGAAAACCAAAGACTTAATTCAAGAGAACTAATTTAATTTTTCTTTAAGAAATAAAGAGACCACTGGACATCATTTTGTAAAATACAATTTGAATGTTTTAAAGAGTTCATACACGTTTTTTTAAAACATGGGACACAGAAGACTTGCTCCTAATGATTTTGGCAATTGATTTTATAAAACCAAGGCATATACCAGTCAGGAGAATAAATTTAATAAAGTAACACACATCTGACCATACATGTAAGAGATATAACAGCGTGTATATATAAATGAAAGAGTACTCTTGGTTTAAAATTATGTTCAGAAATACTAAACTGGGTGAGTTATTTTAAAAGTGGTTTCTGAGTAAATGAGACAAAAATAATTAATTAAAAGTTGACTTTAATCTTTTTCCAGATTATATAAGATTATTTACAACTTTCATTTCAATGAAATATAGTTTTAATTAACAGTTAGGTTTTACAGTTTAATTTCTGTTAGCACATCTTAAAAGGAATCAGAAAAATTAAGTGAAGAAAACTGAATGAACAATTTGCACATTACATGCTGAGGGAAACATTAAAAACTTTTCTTAAGAAGTGAAGCAATGGATCTTTTTCTTTCTTTCTTTCTTTCTTCTCACAGCAGTTTATTCTTGAGCAATAAGACCCTCTTTATTTATTTGCCTGTCTTAAGCAGTTTTTCATTTCATAAATTGTTCAGCACTATCTCATTTAAAAGGGCTGATTTAGCTAAGATAGGGAGCTGTTGGCTGATAGCAGAAATCAATTTTAGCAGGTTAATTAACTTAAAAATGCACACCAAGGCAGGCTTGTAACTTTGGAAAAAGAGGAACATGCAGCTCTTCTTATGATTGTGGCAATGTAATATATATTACATTACAATATATATTACAGAGAGAGAGATAGAAAGAGAGAGAGAGAGAGAGAGAGAGAGAGAGGAAGGAAGGAAAAGAAAGAAAAGAAAAGAAAAGAAAAGAAAAGAAAAAAGAGCAGCATTGGCTCCTCAGATTATGCACCCCTTTCCGTTCACGCACGCCTGCACACAAACAGAAGGAAAAATAGAAAGACCTTGCGTCAGAGAAAGGGAGAAATCTGAAACACAAAAGACAGGACAGCCCCAAGTTTTACTGAAAAGTAAGATCCACCCTTTCTAAAAATTTTGTCAAGGAAAGCAGCCCTTCCTGATGAGGGGACACAAGGAATGGAAAGATTCTACTTCTTGCTGGTTATACCCGGATTGTGCTGTTAAGGTGTAAATGTGTTTCGTATGTCCAATAAGCAGTACATTGGGTTTTGTTTTGTTTTGTTTTGTAGAGGAAAATGAGGAAGATCATAAAGAAGGGTTTCACTTGGAAAGCAACAGCCTAATTTTCCTCGCTCTGATTGCAATGACTCTGATCTGATTATGAAAACGAGGGATGTGTTCTAAAAATGAGATAAAGTACTTAATTACAATTAATGATTAATTGCCAAGAACGCAACATACTGAGCCATCTTCTGGGACTTTAATATTTAGTTAACTCCGGTATGTTGTAGAGGACAGATAAGACAAGTCTCTAATAAGTCTCTCCCCTTGATCCATGTTGTAAAAAACAAACTACAGTACTGATAATTAAGGAGAAAATGTGTAAACCTTTGTAGACCAGCCTGAAGTGAAATCTGCTTCCTTTCATTTCTAATTTATTTCTAGGTAAAGAGGCAAATTTCATCTATTTCCGCCCCACCAACTCTGGTTCTGCCACCAGAGTTATTCCAGAACACTCTCTCCATGTTTTTTCTAAAATACTTCAGCCTGTCCAACTCAGAAGTACATTCCACTGAGTGTTTAATAGGATTTATTTCCCAATTGGTGCTTACAAGATTACCACCTGACTCCAAACGCACCTTATTTTTAAAATTGTACATTTTGTAGACTCAAGGCAATGAAGGGACAAAAATAGTGGTTTCATGCAGAACCTCTCCCCTCCCCCAACAGCATCGTCTGGGGTTAATTTGAGATAGTAAGAGGTGTGTAAATTAATTCAACCAACAAGTAAGTCAGCTCTTTTGGGACAACCATAGCTAAGCTGGCCAGAAGTTGGTGAAGAGTGTCCGCTGCTTTTTGCAGGAGGAAGAAAAAAAAAAAAAAAAGAGGCAGTTAAGGTTTCATTTGGAGCTGCAGAAGAACAGCTTTTATAATATCTCAAGTGTGCCCACCTGTCAAAAGGAAAAAAAAAAGGAGAACTACCTTTGAAAAATAGTGCTAGAGGAACTTTTAAAAGCCACGCGGTGAGGTGTTCCCCATCCTCTTGCTACAGGCGTTTTTTATCAAGGCACTCTTGTCAAATTTTGGAAATAGGTTTCCACAAATAGAAGGGAATGTTGTCTTTCCAAGATAATTCCTTCCCTTGGCAGAACAGGACTCTGTACTAAATCTTTCTATCCTTCTCACCTGCAGGGAAGTCCTCTCAAGGTAGGCTGTCTCACCAGTCGCCACTCGGATCCTGA